CTGCCAAACATATTTAATACAAAAGTCACAGAATGAACAGGAATGTATTGGTTTACAAAGTGTAACTCCCCAATCAGCTATCAGAATATCAGTCTCACCCTCACTGGTTTGGCTCAGTGGATATGCATTTAACCTGCAGACTCAAAGGTCCCAGGTTCGATTCCGGTCAAGGGCATGTACCTTGGTTGCGGGCACATCCCCAGTGGGGAGTGTGCAGGAGACAGCTGATAGATGTTTCTCTCTCATCGATGTTTCTAACTCTCTATCCCTCTCCCTTCCTCTCTGTAAACACACACACACAAAAAATATTTCTTTAAATAGAATAAGTGAATTTGAAAATTTCTTAGTATAATAGTACAGATTGTCCTAAAGGACTGAAGATTGGGAAAATATTTTAATACCACCTTCTAAATTCAGGACAAGTATGCTCCTATACCAGTATCTCTAAAGCAGTGGCTCTCAACCTTCCTAATGCTGCGACCCTTTAATACAGTTCCTCATGTTGTGGTGACCCCCAATTTCATTGTTAAAAATTGAACATAATTAAAGCACAGTGATTAATCACAAAAACAATATGTAATTATATATGTGTTTTCTGATGGTTTTAGGGCGACCCCTGTGCAAAGGTCGTTCAACCCCCAAAGGGGTTGCGACCCACAGGTTGAGAACCGCTGCTCAAAAGTGTTATAGAAACCAAAGTCAAGTCAAAAAGTGCTAAATAGGACAACTATTTTAAGATAACACAACTCACCTCAGTGTTCTCTGATTTTTCAGTAAGTTCTGCAGACCCAGAAGGCCTTCTTTCCTTTCTGACCAGTTGGAACTAGCACACCTATTGAGGACTTCTGCCACATCTTCAGTCTGCCTCATATACGTAGGAATACTACCATTTCGAGAACTGTAGGAGCGCTCTGAACAAGCACTAGACGCATCGCTGTTGGCATCATCATCTGAATGCATTCCATATGACTCATATCTTCTTCGAGCAGGTTTTTTCTGTTATATACATAAAGATTCTTATTAGGGGTAGCTAAAAGAACACTGGTATTTCACAATTTCCACTGATACAAAAGGACTGGTTTTTGTTTTAAAATCAGTACAAAGCATGCTGCTAAATATTTTAATGATATAATGTCAATATTTAGTTTTTCTTCAAAAACCATGTTTTAGAATTTAGTAGAAGATGAAATATTCTTTAACCATGGGAAGTGGTAGAAGCAGAATAACACTCTATCGAAGTTCAGATATGTAAGTGGGAAATGATAAAAAAAGAATGTGGGTTTTCCTTTTCTTTCTTCTTTTCTTGGAAAACCAAGGATTACCAAATCATAAATGAGCCAAAACTGTACTGGAAATCTGAGTTGGTAAGAAGAAAATATTACTTTTTTAAAGGATGAGGATGGATTAGGATATGGACAATAAATTAAAGAAAAACAACTCATGTAAAGTTCTATTTTTCCTATCTACATGTCTTCTACTCTTCTTTTACCTCCACTATCATTTCTCTTCCACTCCTTCTTCCCTTATACCCAACCCTCATGTCATCTTGAAAAGTAAAATACAAAAAATGATGAGAACCTGTTTTGCTTACTATTATTTTTAGTAGGCAAGCTCCTTGAGGGTCCTCTGTTTTCCCTACTGTGTCTATACCATCTATTTGAATAAATATGAAAAAGAATATTTAGATTCCTTTACATGTTTATTATTTAATATATGCAACTGCTAATTATACCTTGCATATCAAAAGTGAAATGAGAGAGTAGATAAATGAGATTTCCTTAGGAAAATTAAAAGCAAATCTTTATGTAATCTAATATCTGAAGATAGGCTGGTGAGAGGTGAAGACATTTCTACAAAACAGATTAAGCACTATTATTTAAAATAGTTCCAGATGGCTATAAATTCTCCAAATTCTAAAATCTAAAAGAAATATAATTTGAATCAAATTAAAAAATTATATAATGACATTTCCACCACTAAATGCTTCATATTAATTCAGAGATGCCAACTTAATTTAGAATAGCAGTAATGTGACATTTTCTGTGTCGAGCTCCAGGATCAGTTTTGTTAAAGATAATCAGTGTGAGTGACATCATCTATTTGTATGAAGTACTCAAGCTTAAAAGATGAGAACCCCAATATCTACCTATTCTTAATCATACATATAAAAAAAGACAGGATGTATGTCTAAAGATTTTATTACTTCTACTTGAAGTTTTTATAGAATACTATCATCTGTTAATGTGATAAAGGAAAGAAAAAGTAACGGTATCATAAGAGTTCATAAAGTAGCAATGTCTATACCTTAGTCCGCATGTCTCCTAAGAGCTGAGAGCAGTAAATTTTTAAAGAGAAAAATTAAAAATAATGAAGAACATTTTGCTACATAGCACAATGAAGTAGGAATACATAATGCTCATAATCAGAAACATTAAACTTTTTAATATATAGATACATAAGAACAGCTTATTAGCAGACTATATCTTTCATCTTACCAATAACTTTTAGTCCAAAAAAAAATATGTAAGCACAAAAATATTTCCTTAACCAGTTTCCCCAATTTAAGTCTTCTATTTGGATCCTTTTGTTATTTCCAAAGTTAACTTTATTCCTTTAATTTTTTCCAAGGTCCAAATTGAGTTTGGAATTCTTTTCCTAAAAACTGATAGTTATAACTGGAATACTATACTATGCAAATAATGGAAGTAGATAGAATCAATTTATTGGGATTTAGCTTTTAGCCCTGGTGGTTAAATATTCCCCATATAAGCCAAACACAAAATCTCAACACCTTAGTATTGTAAGGAATATTTCAAGAAAAACCTCTTTCAATTCATAAAATTTATGTGAGCAGAATTTAACTGGTAAATCATCTATTTAAAAAGAAACTAGAAAATATGAATTGAAAAATCATAAATTTAAAACATCTTCTGATTTAGTATCATCAGAACAAGACGTGATCAATATAGCCAATGCCCAAGAGAACCAAGTTCCTACCTAGTTACATTAATTTATTTAAAAATAATCAAATGGCGGAGATGAAAGGAAAAATTAAGCACATATAGATTGTCAGAGCAGAATTACATATATTACTACATTTATTACATTACAGTGATAACAAATATTTTTTTAAACTTGTTTTTAAAATATTTTTGGCAAAACTATGTTATATCAACACTGGTTAAGATTGAGGTATAGTTTTAAAAGGTACAATGTAATTTTTAATTTCAAAACAAAGATGAGGTCTTTTGTAAGTTTTGAGTATAAAACTGAGAAAGTGCTTCTCAAACATGGGATTAATATAATTTGAAAAAGGAAGTATCATACTGAATTGACTTGGGAAACTGGCAAAAGTCCATTATTTTCATTGTTTCAAATGACACTTTCTTCATAAGTTTATATGAGAAAAACAGCAGTGATACATGTACCGCAGTCTTATGAAAAAGTTTCATCTGTACATTATGTTTTTATTATTTATTTATTAAATATATTTTTATTTATCTCAGAGAGGAAGGGAGAGGGAGAGATAGAAACATCAATGATGAGAGAGAATCATTGATTGGCTACCTCCTGCACGCCCCACACCAGAGATTGAGCCCGCAACCCAGGCATATGCCCTTGACCGGAATCGAACCTGGGACCCGTCAGTCCTCAGGACGATACTCTATCCACTGAGTCAAACCGGCTAGGGCTGTACATTATGTTTTTAAAGCTCACTTATATGTGTCAAGCATAAAGAGCCAGAAAGATATATTAATTAAAATATATCTTTAAGTTGTACTTTCTCTCAGCTCTGAAAATACAAAAGTAAAAAACTAAACAAAATCCCACTCCAAGCTAAAACAATCTCCAAATACTCAAGGTTGACTTAGCCTTGAAATTATATGCTCACAGTGTATATATTCTGTCTGCCCTAACTCTGTGTATTACATAGTGCATAAAACACATCACCAGATTAGACATCAGTATTTATATATTTTTTTATCTTATAATTTTAGTATTTATATTTTTGATATCCTATCAATTACTATTGGCCATCATTTAATTTCTGACCAAATAAAGATCAAGAATTAATTATACTGCTTTTAACACTGCTCACATTTGATCTTCCTAGATTCAATCCACAAGAATTTTCCCACCTTCCTTCTGACTCTCTGGACTGGCTTACTCAGACATTAGTTTCATAATTAGAACATCTATAAAGATAAGAAAATAAAGAAAAGTACCAAGGCATCTGCTACTGCCTCCTCCACATCAGAACCTGTGTTCAGGACTCGCATGGCACTGACAGAAGCTGACAGTCGACTTGATTGGCTGATCCCATATCCTGGACCTAGTTCATCAAAAGAAAGAAAAAAGTTTTGAGAGAGTCATAAATGTAACAGTGTCAGGTTAGAAATTTTAATATCCTTAAGGGGGAAAAAAAAAAACCAATGGGGAAAGCATTTTAAAAGCAATACAATATTTTCTGGTACATATAGTTTTTGGTCAAAAAATGGTAAAGGCAATTAAAATTGCTGACAATCTGTAAAAACTAAATTTAAAGACCAGTAGTTACAATACATTCACAATCAGAAGGTGGAAGAAAGCATGGCTGGCCGACTAGGAGCTTACAAATCTGTAGCATTGTAATTAATCCAGCTTTTAGTCGGACCAATCTCCTCCACATTGGTGAGACTAGAACAAATGTCAATCCTCAAACCAATAATGATTATTAAATTCACTGAAGCCACACGAGGACTTTACAAGAGAAAAAACCCTCTAATTATTATCTCTTCTCCTTCAAGACAGGCTGAATTCATTCTACAACGAAGACATATCATTTGATATTTGTTAAGTACCTACTAATAAGTGCCTGACATTCTGAGGTATGTGAAGACAAACCAGATGGGTTCTCCCCCTTAATTACTTTCTATACCATCATGCACAATTAAAACACTTCATCCACCATTTTGGTTTTTTTTTTTAATGTACGAAGATGAGGTACATAACTGAGAACATAAAACAATTCTATATTTAAAATGACATAACTTAGATAATACAAAAGAAAAATGTCCATCTGCCAATGAAAAAAATGTTCAAATAAGGTTGCTAAAGGGGAAAAAATTACTTGGAGGAAAATAAAAATACCACAAATTATTTATTCTCCAACAAATTAAATTTAAATAAAAAACAAATTGATTTTAAAACATGAATATTATTCAATGGAAACTCAAAGGGACAAAAATCTGAAATGCACAGATGAGAGTGAAAATGTACTCATCCTTCACCTGAGGCCCCATACACATCGGGGGCGTAGAGGGCACCAGTAGATCTGGAATGGTGTCTGGAGGCTGGAATAACAGGACCATACAAACCTCATCTATTACCACAGAAACAAGGAATAGTGGCAGCACTACAGTCAGGCAAGGAGAGTTAGTTAACACTGGCATTACTTTTAAAAGTTAAGGGTCAGAATATTGCCAAACAGGGTAATTGAACATTAGCAACTGAACATCATCCTTGACACACAACAGATCTTACACCTAAGGGGACAGACAATCCCACAGGAGACAAAAAAAAGTAAGTATTCAAATGGAAGGAAATGTCAAAAGTACAAGCATGAAACAAAAAAATGAACACTGTAGTTTAAAAAAAAAACCACTATGGTAACTAGTAATCAATAATAATCCTATCTCCTCCAATCCTAAACCCAATGAAAGTTATTACTATTCTATTTTATAAATAGGTAAACTAAAGCATAGAGATTAATTAACCTGATCAAAGCTAAACAGTTGTATGTGATATACCTCAGTATCTTAACTCTTTCAAGGACTAGTATCTCACACTTACCATCTTCACATTGTTCAAAAGATAATATACATCATTTATGTTAACATAAACATTTTCCATATAGTTCATAAATTGTAAGTTCTACATTCAGTAGATTATTTAAATATTAAAGCACATTTGAGCATCAAAGAAAGAACATTACAAATTTAATAATAAAAAACCCTGGAAATGTGTGAAACATCTCCATGCCCTTATGGCATGTTTCTCTAAATCTAAATTTACCATATTTAAAATTTTAGATCCTAAAATCCACAAGATCACCATAAAGTCAATATTTTTCATACATGTAGAAACAAATAAGTCAGAAAAAAATTCATTTTGATATCTAACAAAATATATTACTTTTATTCTAAAAGTTACTCTTCTTCAGATACATTAATTAGAGCAGTTAAAATACTTTTGTTTCATAAATCACTCTCTCCTTTGCCACAGGAACTTAATGAATAAGAAAATCATAAAAAATATTGAGGAAAGGATTAAACAGAAATAATGCTGCACAAAATGCTTTAGTAAACCTTGAAAGATGATTCATTTATTGTTAGTAAACACATTCATATATAGTTTTTTAAAAATATATATTTTTTTATTAATTTCAGAGAGGAAAGGAGAGGAAGAGAAGATAGAAGCATCAATGATGGGAGAGGATCATTAATTGGCTGCCTCCCTACACACCCCTCACAGGGGATTGAACTCAAAACCCGGGCATGTGCCCTGACCGGGAATCGAACCAATGGTCTCTTGGTTCTTGGCTTTAATCTCAACCGCTGAGCTACACTGGCTGGGCATATATAGTTTTAATTTTACTCAATAGAAATAATTTCTATAATGGTGAGACAGAGTTGAATCAATATAGCAATGCCTAATGGATGAAAATCTCTGTAAAACTTTAAGTAATTAGTAGTTATTTGTTGGTGAAGATAACAGGGTAAGGGGCAGCACTCATGTGCTTGTCATAATTTAAGCCTTTCTTAGTTCTGGAAATAAATGGAAACTAAGGGTGCAAGTTCTGGGGAAGTTCAGCTTTGCTCAGCTCTGATTGATTTGTGATGTTTTAGGGCCCTCACACTGGCCATGTGCTACCACTGAATAAATGGCAAGCTATGGAATCCACCTGTTAAATGGCAATATGCAAGTTAGAGGCAACAAAAGAATTCACCAAATAAAATAAGGACAGCAGAATATAGGCAAATACAGCAGAAAATGGGAACGGGGGATAACCTCACCTCTGGGAATGCTACTCTTAAACCCTGTGTAACAAACAGGGCTTATCTGATACCTTTACTATGCAGTATCTATCTATCTATATAAAAGCCTAAGTGACCTTTATGACCGAATGACTGGTCGCTATGATGTGCAGTGACCACCAGAGGGCAGATACTCAATGCAGGAGTTGCTCCCTGGAAGTCAGTGCACTCCCACAGCCAACTTCCCGCAACCGCTCCCCGCTGCCAGCCAACCTCCTGTGGCCCATCTCCCCCCAGCCGGCCAGCCTTCCGTGGCTCCTCCCCCCGGCTGGCTGGCCAACCTCCCCTGGTACCTCCCCCTGGCTTGCCAGCCTCCCGATAGGCCTCAATCACCGGTTAGGCAGAGGGACCCTACCTATGCATGAATTTGTGCATTGGGCCTCAAGTCTAAAATAATAAAAGCATAATATGCTAATTACAGGATGAAGGGAGGGAATAAAAAGGCAGGGAGGGAAGGAAGGAGGGAGAGAGTTAGAGAGAGTAGAACATTGATGTGAGAGACACATCGATTGGTTGCCTCCTGCATGCACCCCATCTGGGGCTGGGGATTGAACTTGCAACCCAAGTACATGCCCTTGCCCAGGAACTGAACCCACAACACTTTGGTGTATGGGCCAATGCTCTAACCACTGAACATACAGAGGCGGGGCAACGTTTGTTTTTTAAATTAATTAATTAATTAATTGTTGGTTGTAAATTTCCTTTACTCTCTATTATACAGATTTTAAAAGTACAGACACATGTTTTTGTTTCTTCTTATCTTGTGTTTCCTAAGAATACTGCAGTATTATCATTATACAAATGCAGGTGTTAGACCATTAAAAAAATCTAAGATCCTAGAGCAGTGATGGTGAACCTTTTGAGCTCGGTGTGTCAGCATTTTGAAAAACCCTAACTTAACTCTGGTGCTGTGTCACATATAGAAATTTTTTGATATTTGGAACCATAGTAAAACAAAGACACACACACACACATATATATTTTATTGATGTTTTACAGAGAGGGAGAGGGATAGAGAGTTAGAAACATCGATGAGAGAGAAGCATCGATCAGCTGCCTCCTGCGCACCCCCTACTGGGGATGTGCCTGCAACCAAGGTACATGCCCTTGACCGGAATCGAACCTGGGACCCTTGAGTCCGCAGGCTGATGCTCTATCCAGTGAGCCAAACCAGCCAGGGCAAGACTTATATTTTTGATATTTATTTATATATTTAAATGCCATTTAACAAAGAAAAATCAACCAAAAAAATGAGTTCGCGTGTCACCTCTGACACACGTCATAGGTTCGCCATCACTGTCCTAGCGCCTAACAGAACTATTTCTAGGTGAGCAATTAGAGCCTCAGGGGAAGAGGTGCAGGAGCAGCAACACTGGTGGCAGGCACTTCTCTGAGAGGTTTTTCATACATTCTCTCATTTACAGTATTTTATAAACAATCCTGAGTACACACTACAAATTATGTAGTTTTACAGATGAGGACACCCAAGTATAGAAAAGTTACAGAACTGGGGTAAGAACTTAGGCCATCTGGCACTAGAATATATGCTCTTAACCCAATACCCACTCTATTTCCTTCAATTCTTGAAGGTGGCACGCTTACTTTATATAAATGTATAATTTATTTTACTTCTTAATGTATGTGTGTATATATGTGCACACACACAGATACTCCACAGACTAAAACTATTGCATATGAATTAAAAATATCTCTGGCAATATACAGAAAGGGAAACTCTTTGGCACCTGGGACACTTGGCTAAACAACAAAGATTAAGGATATATCTGTCTGTGTCCCCAGCTCAATGGGGTTTTCTAGGTCAGTAAAGGACAATCTAGTGATATATTTGAGCCACAGAAATCCTAAAGAGTTTCAGTGAAAAATATTCTGCCTTTCCATTATTTTAAAATACTAAAGGCTTAAAAAAAGCATTTAACATTTTTATAACTGAGGTAAATATAATGTTACATGGTATTATAATCAAGGTTATAATATAATCTCTATAATGAGGGACAGATAGGTTCTATAGCAGTGACATGACATGAGCCACATAATATACAGGAAATGACAAACTGGAAAATACTATAAAAATGTTAATTCTGCCCATTTTAATGGGTAGTTCATATATTATTCTGCAGCACTCTTCCCAGTAACCACAGTCAAATGTCTAAGTTGAAATGTTAATATTTCTGCTGAAAAGGACAAAAGTACTCAAACAGTTCATATTTCAGTTGAGAGTACATATCTAAATGTTATATTTAAATTTTATGGGTTTATTTGTTAAGAAAAATACTGAATTCAATATTCTGTAGTTTAAATCTGTGTGATATTTACTAGATTATAAAGACAATTTGTTTATACAATGTCTAACTTGCTCATTTAAGGTAAACAAACGTCAAAGGAAAATGTCCCAAATACAAAATTTCCTCCCGATTCCTCAAAAAAGGAGAAATGAGATAGAGGTGAAGATACAGTCGATACAGAAAGCTAAACCCAAGCTTACGCTGCAGTTATCACATGGTGATAGCAACAAGGGGAAAGCAGTGCACCTCACACCTGCCCAAACACTTACCGAGGGGCTGGAAAGAGCGGACAGGACTTGTGTCCCGGCTGCTCTCCCGACTGGCCTCTCGGCTGCAGCCTTGGCTCACACTCGGTCGAGGGATACGACTGCTTCGGGCTGGTCCGAGCATCAGCAGCATTCAGAAAGGAGGAAACGGAAGACAGAATTTGTGTTTTGGATATTTTGGTTTTATTTTTATTTCTTGAAAACTGATCAATAACTTAAGTTTTTCTAAGGTTGGGAAGAAGTTAACTCTTCCTAGAAATGAAGGATTACCAGAAATACGGTTAAATTTCTTGAATACAGTCCTCTAACTTGTTTTAGATTGGAAGGGTAAAATAATAGTTTAGTAATTACATAAATTATACTTTTAAGATAAACTATCTAATTCAATTTATAACCTATATTTCATTTTGCCTTGGATTTTAAGTTGTTTTCCTTTAACTTAAAAGTGACTAATCAGTCTTCAATGCTACCAAAACCTGAAACAAAGAAGAAATAAAAAGTCCCAAGTCTCACATAGAAATTCTTACCCACTGAGAGTCTAGATGGACTAGCCTCCCTGCTACAGCCCTGGCTCCGTGGTATCTTGCTTCTCTTCTGTGCGGAGGCTGAATTGACCAGGACTCTCTGAACACCAGAGCTCACAGTGGAGAGGGCTGTTGTGGTCAGAACTCTTCCTGGAGATCCAGACCGGCTGCCAGCTGAACAAACACACATACAAACGTGAAGATGTGAATTCCAAGAGAACTTGGGAAAGGATAAAAATTTAAGAAATACACCTGAGAACACTGTGCTAGTATTGTAACTAAGTGCAAAGGAAATGGAATGAACAAGATTTATATATGACCATAACCTATGGGAAAAAAACATATACTACAAATACTTAAACTGAATGGTCAATCATGTGAAATATACTTTAAATTTGGGGGGTACAAGATACCATCTATGTTTGATAAGGACAACAGTATTATGATTTTCAGAACACAAATAGTATAAAAAATTTCCAAAGAAATAACTTTCAGGCAATACATTTCATATGGCTAAAGCCATATATTGAAAGGGAAAAAATTAATAATCTGTCACTGCTATTGTTTTTGTTGAAAATATAATAAAAACTTGCTTTATGTTAAGTTGTCCTGCTTGAGAATGCCTCTGAATGGGTATAACAAAGTTATTTTTAAAATTTTTACAAAATTAAATTTTAAATGTTTACAAAATTGGCCAACTGAAAAGAAACTTGCTATTTGCCTTTAAATAGCAAAGGGATCTTGCGTGGCCACAATCAAATGTAGAAGTACTGAGGGTAGAATAGGACTAAAAGGCAAATGTCAAAGAAGTCAGACCCTTTCCAACCTGGTGATATTCAGTCTTGACAGGAACAGGATATGTGGTCGGGGAAATAGAGAAGGAGGTAAATAAAATCTCAGAGATTAAGGCAAGGGTTTAAAAAAAACTTAAGAAACATGTTTTAAAACTAGAATTGCCTGGGTTAACTTTTCGGGGGATGAGCTCCTTGTGAAAACATTTTATATCTGCATTGACTAGATAACTGCAAGATATAATGTGACTCTAGATTCTGAATGGTAGATAGTAACATAGAGAAGTTAAAACTGCACACAAATAAATCTTCATGAAAGTAACATTTCCCTTTTGTTGGCATTACTTCTCCTAACCAACAGGGCAGTCACTGCTCACCTTGTGCAATTTTACCCAATCACACTTCATTTCCAAGGAGCAGAGATTAAAGACTCAAATGCCAATGAGATGAGCAGGATGTCAATGAGAGCACAGTGCTGAGTGTAAGGCAGGGAGTGGTGATTTTTTAGTGCCAGCCAGCTGTCTTGAGGTGATACTGGCCAGGTTTGGGAATTTAAAAATTAAAGCTTTAAAATTTCCAGGTTTTTATCATGATGTGTAGTAGACCAAATAATACATGAATGGAGACAGGCGGGATGTGGTCCATGGGCTGCTGATCTGTGACCCTTGCTATAGTTTTCTTGGCTTTGTCTTACTGAATACAATATAAACATATGCTTAATTTCTAAACTTTACCGGCATACCATATGAAATATAACTTCCACTGATTATAGCAATACTGTAAAACAAAGTAGTGTTTCTAATGAAATTAATGACTTAACTATTTGAGTAGAAGAAATTCTAAACAGAATTATTTCATGATGTTCCAGGTGAAGAATCTTTAAATCAGATTTCTTTAAGTTATAACCTTCGGTATACTCACAAGGCACCTATTTCTCCATGCAGTGTCTAAACTAAACATACACACCAAAACATCCAAACACCCAACATGCCACAAACTCACAATGCAACATAAGCTGATGGAATATTTTATGGGAACACTTGCAACAATATAAAAAGTGGACGTAATGAACTGAACATGTGCAATATGGTATTCAGTTAAAACTAATATAAGTTTAGAGGTAGAGGTATTTGTAGGAGACTAGAGAATTCCTTGAAGTGTGGGTCTATTCAGCAGACAGCAAACATACAGTATAGAAGGAGAGTAACCACTCCACCTATTCCACATATTATTTGGAATTTATCCAAATAATACAACAGTGATAACTGCAGTGCCTATGACTCATTTGGAATTATTTATACTTAGAAGAAAATATCAAGGCTCTTTCCCCAGCAAGAACCACCAAGGCTAATTATTTCTAAGAAAACCACAGAGTGATGACAAGGGGCATGATGTACCTAGGAAATATCAAACTACTAGAAAATACTCTAATTTGTAAAACTTAAAAATGGATGCCTAATTTCTCTGCGCTGCCTAACGTATTCAAACTACCATTTTACATTGTCATGAGATATTTTCAAAGCATTACTAAATCTCCTTTGCTTCTGAATGTTTATACCTGTGGGGTTAACTTGGATAATTTTTAAAATCCAGGGTTTTGGTAATAAAAGACAGGCCAAGGAAAAATCGTAATGGGCAATATTGCTCCAAACTAATGGGCTATTATGTTACAAATTTCTGCTGAATAGAACCCATTCTTGATAATGAAAGTAGGTGATCAAACAATAGATGGACACATAGAGTCTACAGATTCTTACCACCAATGGTATTAGCAGATTGTGATCCTGAACAAGTGTAAAGGCAGAATTAGGGTAAGGGTTATAATCCATGTTGAGGGGAAGAGCAGATTTAAAGCGGATGGCAGATGGAAATAAGAAAGCTTTAGTCAGTTCTTAAAAAATAAAAAGCCCTAAAGCAAAAAAACAAAACAAGAAAACAAAACAACCCCAATATCCCAAAACCACAGATGTCTGTAACAAAAGCAGGTACATTTAGTAGTTTTTGCAGCTGGTAAGCTGAAATAGGACACTCATGTACAAAGCAGATGAAATGAAGTTGCAAAAATAAATATAAGTTCTTCAGCTTTTCTTCTGATGGCCTAAAATCTAAATAATTAAATGTTTAAGTTTTTATTACTTAAACATTTAATTTTAAACTATAGGCAAAGAAGAACTACATCATCTTATAGCTGAAGAAAAATTACAAGAAAAAGCTACACAATTTATCTTTCGTAAGACACACAGAATAAAACAAATGGCAGAGAGTGGGTTGGGGCAGGGAGACAAAGTTTCTGACAGGCTGTACAATCATTTGTACACAACCAGTCACTACCAACAACAAAAACAAAAAGACACAATCCTTACATAAATATAAATCTGGAAGTCTCCAACTTGGTCTGCTTTTATTTATTTTGGTTAACCATCAGAACACACCTGCTTTGATCCAAGAGTTGTTGTATTTTTTAATGACGACATAAAAATATGGAAATACCATGCAAACTCTAATGAATTATTCTACAACAAAGTGAGATGGGTATCACAGCAATAATTCTGTAAACATATTATAAGGAAACTTGCATCAAATTCTATAGGGCCACAATATCTTTTTTCAAGAGGATTTGGAATGGAACATATAGTCATTCAAATAAATAAGCAAGCAAAAACTTCTCCAACATGATTTAAACCTAAGTATAGTAAAAATGTCTTCTAGTTTTAAAATCCTACTTAGGTCTAAAAGCCTATCATTACGTTCTCACTCTTTAGGAAAGATTTTGAAGTATTGTGGATTAGGGTTTTGAAGTTAAAAAAAAATTGCTACATTCTACTGAAGTAGTTAAAATACACCTAAAAGTGAGGTCCTTAAGTAATGTATTAAAAATCCATACACAAAGCACTTTGAATCTCTATTGTGAGTTCAGTCTTTAAACCTCACATTTTCAAACTTCACCATTATTTACTTCTTTGTTTCCTGAAGGCCACAGAATAACACAGTATAGAAGTACCCAACAGGAGTATAAAATTAAGTTGACACGAGATTATGAATAACAAATTTTATTAGCTAAAAAATATAGTACTTACTCTGGGCCCAGGCACTGTCTTAAGTGTATTAAATGTACTACATATCATTTAATCCTCACAACAATCCTATGAGAATATCCTCTTTATTTTACAGATGAGTATACGAAAATACAACTTAAAAAAATCTGGAGGGGCCATGATTCAAATCTGGGCAGTATGGTGCTAGAGTCTGTGATTTTTACCCCAATATATATTTATTGATTTCAGAGAGGAAGGAAGAGGGAGAGAGAGAGAGAAACATCAATGATGAGAGAGAATCATTGACTGGCTGCCTCCAGCACTCCCCCCTACTGGGGATCGAGCTTGCAACCCAGGCATGTGCCCTTGACTGGAATCAAACCCGGGACCTTTTAGTCCGCCGGCCGATGCTCTATCCAGTGAGCCAAATCAGCTAGGGCTCTGTGATTTAAATAAATAATTCTCAAACTTTTTTGTAATACAAATTACTTGGTGATCTTATTATAGACTGAACTGAATATGGCATGAGAGTGTGCATTCCTAACAAGTTCCTGGTGAGGCTGATGCTGGTCTGGGCAGACATTGGAGTATCAAGGTTCTAAACTACCGTGGCACACTGCTAAAGATTAAGTTCCTTTAAAAAATTATTCCAAAAACACACAAGGTCAGGGAAGACTGTGATATTATTCATTCCTAATTGGCTAGAAGAGCCCTTACCCAGAAGGCATTTGCCATTTTTTCTATTTGTAAAATTTGTAATTTTACTGAGCATGTCTGCTTATTTTTAGGACTCTTGTTGAGTGCTCCCACCGTTACTCTGCCTGGATTTTTGGCTTTGGAAGGAGGAGGAGAGAGAATCTGCTAGGTAGAATTATCTATTCACCACCCTGGCCTTCTCCAAGCCCAGCTATCTTTTCTTTGGTTCCAAGATTCAGGAATCAAGTTAAAAAGGAGACAAAATAGGGCTTATCTTGATAAATCACTTAAGCAACATGGAAGATAGTTAAATCTATTCCTTTCCAAAATAGCCTGTATGTATAACCCCAGAATGACTTTCCTAGAAAAAAAAATTTCTAGAAATAAGTGCTAATGAAAATCTTTTGATAAAGGAGGAATGGGAACAAGCTGCTTTAAGTTAATAATGCCATAAGTTTATGTGTTACTGTTCTGGAACATGTAGAAATGGATCATTCATTTTACCTAGGCCTCAAAATTGTGCTTTTTAACAACTGGCCTGATAGAGAAGCTCAGCTTCCAATAAAATAGCAAAAATATAAATATTAAATTTAATAAGAAATATAACAGAACCGGTCATTTTAATTTGTTTCCTCACTATGAATCAGTTTATAGCTGCCAAAAATGCTAACTATATTCTAATAGATTTTTGGGGCAAATATGAAGATACCATGTATCTGTCCTTGAATAGCATTAGCTACATGCAACCAGATTAGATGTTACTACATGGCAATTATTTTGCCTCTAAAAAGCACAATTTTCCACATTTGCAAGTTTCTGAGTAAACTGTCAAAACTTTAATATTAAGAGATCTGTGTTACTTAAAATATCTGCATGCAAAAGTTTATACAGCAGATGAAGTTTTTCTTTCTAAGTGGCAGATATTAATGATGCAGCCCTAATAACACACCAAAGACAAGACAACACCCACTCAAAAAAATTCCAAAACATGCACAACAACTGACCCAAAACATTGAAAAAAAATACCTTCATTTTTGTCAGGTGATGATGAACCTAAAGTATAGAACAAGAACTCAGTATGTGGCTTGTCTTTTTAAAATTAGCTTTGTCTTTATCCACTGGTCAATGTCCTAATACAGTAATATATAAGCAACACACTTATCATAACATATTACAAATATAGGAAAACTGATAGGCAATACATACGCTGTGACTGAGACACCATTTTTGTTCGACTTCTTCCTCTAGAATCTGTCTTGGCATTTCCTATGCCAGCAAGTGGTGCTGAAAGCTTCGCTCTCACCCGACCTAAGAAATAAAATTTTTTACATAAATAAAGGCAGGTTTGTATAATAATATTTAGTAACGAGGGGGGGGAAATCTCACTAAAATTTTCTAATTGAGTGTGGTTTCCAAGTATTCTTAAATTCTGTAATAATAGAGTCATCACTTACAGGTTATACTTCTCTTAAAATTTTAAAAATACATACTGTTTTTTATATGTTCCACCAAAAGCTAAATTTCCATCAAGGATAAGAGTAAAATCAAACTAAAAGATTTCTATTCTTAGTTTGATTAGTCCAGTAGAATTATAACTAAGAAAGTTACCATAGACATTCTATTTGTTTCTTAATTTGGTAATTCCAACTCTAAAATTTCAGTATCTGTGACATTTATTCTCAAGTCTAGAGTATATTAAATAAAGGAACAACAACCCAAACAATTCATTTAACTGAAAATATACTTCTTCTAAAGGGATTTGAAAGAACATCTTACTAGGTAAAATATTTAATCCTGTTATCCTGTGCTAAACATCAGATTACTACAGAGGGATATGGATGTGTTTACCACTGTCTTCCCCCAAGCAACCAATCTATAATAATAAAAGCGTAATATGCTAATTAGACCAGACAGCCGAATGACCTTCTTGACGACCTTCTGGACTAAGCCGGGGCTGCAAGGGCCAAGGCAGCGGAGACTGGGAGGGCCAAGCCCCTTGCACGAATTTCGTGCATCAGGCCTCTAGTTTCATTTATAAAATGATTTGAGAAGTAACTATCACACAAAAGTTGGCAACTTTCTCAACACATTTCTTTCTCTACCTCTTAATTGTACTCCATTCTCCTCTATGAGACTCATCCCCTCCACAAAACCAAGCCAAAATATCTATCTCTGGAGCTCTTAAACCAAAAGAGATGATGCTTATTAAAGCAGGTACTTGGGTCTTCTTAAGATATAGTTTCAACCACTATCAAAGCAGAACCAATACCAAACAATCACAAAGAAGGGCTCAGAATCTCTTTTATTAAAAGGTACAATTTGTAGGGCAATCACAATATACTGCCTAGCCTGATATGACTATATAGAGTCATGGAAAATAACCGGAATAGTAAGGAGAAATTACAAAATTAAGATAAGAGAGTAAGAATTGGAAATAAAACAAAAGCAAAACCAGAAGTATAGTTGGTAGAGTCCTGTACTCTATCAACTTCTTCAAGGTTCCATAAAAAAGCCCATAGTTTAGGCCTTTCACCCTTTTAGAGTCTGTTTAGAGTTGGATACAATGTTCTCCTGACTAAGAAATAAAACAGAAAGATAAAATTATTATTTTTGAAATAGAGAATTTATCCAATATAACGAAGAAATTAGGATAAGTTAAGTATTGGTACTACATTCTAAATTACAATGACACAGTGCCAGAAACCATTTTTATAAAGAATTCCAACTTAAAACATAAAATATGAAAAGATTTCAAATATATCTGAGTAAATATGAGAAAAAGAACAAGTTAAATCTATTTGGTTTTGTATCACAAGACAGTGTCACATCCATGTCAAACTTAGGAAAAAGAAAATGTGTATCCAATCAGCGATTTAATAAGACAGACTTTATGTAGAATAAATATAAAAATTGAATTTTTCCTGCTCTACAAATTAAAAAGCAATAAATATTAATTTTTAAGCTGGCTCAGTAAAATAAAATATATCTAGCAAGTTTTTTGTACTCTCAAATTCAAATCACATATGTAATTCCCCAGTAACTAATTAAAAAACAAAGATACATTTAAAAGCTGATGATATTTAAACTCCAATAAAGCAATGGTACATGCTTCCCCAAAGTATAAGTGGTTGGCATACATTAAAAAAACATAAACACAAAAAACAAAAGAAAAGCATTACTGTCACTATGGAAACAAATGGAACTGTGTGCTAACTTTATACTAGATATTATTAAACATGTTAAGCAATTATGTTTTTCCAGCATGAGATGATCGAAGATACAAAGCAAAACTCTGGGATGAAGAATTAAAAAAAAAAATCCACATACATAACTAACACAACCAAGCATAAAATGTAGAAGTTACCACAGCTGGCAAATAATATAGATTTGCAAAGAAATTAGCCTATTTTAGTTTTTAATATTTAATTCCTATTGATGAAAATATTAATATAGAGGTATGTGTGTTACTAGCAAAATGCATAATTCTTACCATCTTCGGATGCTGTTCCTAAATAAGAGAAATAAAACAATAACATTTCAACAAATTCTGCCAATGCTAATTGTTAAGACCTACTTTGTGACTCCCACCCAAAACTAAAATGAAAGGATAAAAACAAAACCTCCTCCTCTAATAGTCTTCAGTTAAGGTTCATTTTGACAAAGAACAAAAATTGAGGTAACCTAATGACTCACAGCACAAAAAGGTTAAAACTAGGCAATTGTAAATGGCAAAATTCCATAACGTAAACTTTTTTCCTGCTGTATTTCATACTCAAAATTTGAAATGATGAAGAAAATCAGGAAAATTAATCACTCAAGAAAGATGCAAATGTCATTATTTCCCTTTGAAATGAAGATTTTCATATCTTTCCAGAGTAAGAATATTTTCGGTGCATCTTCAAAGTTAGTCCACAAGAGAACTAGAAACGCTAACTGACAAACATAGGAACCAAATCCACGACCTAGGCCTCATTAACCCAGTATTGTCACCAAAGCATTATAAAGGCTTATCAATTCATCAGCTATTTACTCAACATTTATGTTTGCTCCCTAAGATGTCAATGAAAATGAGCAAAAATGACCAAACACAAGTATCATAGCTCACTACTACTAAAGGGCAATAACAGATGTCTCTCTGTGTATATAGATATTTTTTAAAATATAGGATTGAGCATCAGTGAGAGTAACACATCACATAACAAGTGTTTTGTCAAATAGGCTGTTTCTGACCCAAACAGGAAAATATTTTATCTGAAAAGAATGATTTGTTTTTAAAGGATCCATAATATCTCAGTGATAGAAGTCATATAAAGGGTTTGATGGACTTTCATTTCATTCAAAAAATTTTAAAAATTTATGAAATATATTAAACATTAGAGAAGCATAGAGACTAATATAAGTAACACTCATGTGCCCAATACATGATTAAATGTTCCATTTCTTCAGAATGAAAGATATATCAATTTCAGAGACTATGTAAAAATTGACAGAAAAATACAGTTCTCCATTTTTCCTAGATCTCATACTGTGACTTAGAGATTCAATATTTTCTTACAACCTCTTTCATAGAACTCAAATTCCTAGGTAACATGAAGGTACCTAATGCAGTGAAGGGAAAGTGTGGACAAAATACTGCCTATTAATAGACAAAAAAACACCTCCCAGATAAAAAAAACTACTATATTGAACCAAGTAACAAAAAATCATTTGAATAATGATTTAAAGGCAAAGCTTAAAGTCAAGTTTTGATTAAATGTTAGTTTAAAAGTCACTCTTGAAAAGATAGCATCTGTAACTTGCATTTTATATTCATAAATAAGCAACTGAATCTGAAAAACATGTCATTTGTTTCTCTGTATCAGAGTTAGTAAACGAAAGAACGGAATCAAATAACTTATGAGATTCCTTTCTATTCTTCTAAGTCTGATATATCAGAGAAAAACTTAAGAAATCAAGATTATTACTAAGAGCTCAAGTAAAAACATTTAAGATAACCGATTTAACTTATAACAAACAGTAATCTAGTATTTGGGTAGACTGGGAAACCCAAAATGGATATGCCTAGCCTAAAATAAAACCAAAACATCGTGTAGGCAATTTCACATTAAGATTGCTGCTAAATAAGCAGTCTATTTTCAGAAATGAAGAAAATAAAGATATTAAATAGAATCTAAGAACCATAAAAATCTTTAGTAATAGAATCAGGGAGTTCTTACCATCCATCTTGTCAGAAGTATCCTCTATGATGAAAAAGCAAGTAAAGAACAGAGGAAAACTTAGTATATTAGAGAAAATGAATATATAAGACCCAGAAAACATTACTTTTAAGAAGACAGAATTCATAGCATAGACATATATATGTGAAGCTTGTTTTCAACTAAAACATTACGTAGGTTCCTACGTAGCTAGAGACAGTAACAACAACAACAACAAAAACCTATGAGTCTGATTTTTACTAGCCTAGAGAGAGAAGTTGGTGAAGCCCATGTCCTAATCTTGGACCCTTGCCATCATCAGGCAAACCCTCTGCTCTTGTCTGTTGAGTTTCTTCTAATCAGAGTCCCACCTTGCCTTGCTTATTCTTTTCCTCTGTAGCCTACAGGAAACCAAAAATTTTACTCTTAAGCTCTCTCATCATTATCTTACCTAGTGCCTGTTGCTCCCCCACCCCCCACAACCCCAATCCTTTCTTAGAACTCTCAGGCCCTATAAAACCTTAAGTCTGGATAAAACTACTTCATGTTTTTACTCCACTACTTGAGGTGCCCAACAGAGAAAATCACAAAACCATGAAATCATGCAGACTAGCACTATAAAAACTGGGATTATTATCAGGCTTTGTGTCTGTACAGGAAAGTATCAAGTTTGAGTTGATCTTAAGAATCTTATGGGACAGGCCTTTGGGAACTTTGTTCTGGATGCACCCTATAACAATGAAAGGTTATTCTGTGTGCAAGATGAGGGGTGGAGGGAGGAATACTAGGTCTTAAGCCAGCTTCCCTGGGCAGAAACACGGGGAATATGTTCCTGCTTTTTACTGCTGGAGGAAGGAGCACTTATGTGCAGCCCCTCATCTTCACCTCTGGGAGGGAGAACTTTGAAAGGCTACCCGATGAGTCTTTTTCCTTGCTGATCCTGCTACATGTCCTTTCACTGTAATAAACCTCAGCCATGACTACAACTGCCCCTGAGTCCTGTGAATCCTTCTATCAAGTGCCCAAATATGGGTGGCTGTCGGGAGTCCAGAATGCCCACTACTTGTGCTCCCTCAATGGCTATTCCAAAACTCAGGCACTTCTCGGACACCCTGCTTTTTATTAGCACATGATCCTGACTCTGACTCCCAGGCGTCAACACAACCACCTCCTGGATGACACTTTTCTTAATATCCACTCCCCAACACCCAAATACATCTGAAACCACCACCTTCATTTCCTTCCCTTCTACACCAGCGAAACTGGTGGCCCTTCCACATCCAAGGTGAACTTCACAGCTATGCTCTATACTCCCATTCCTCAGGCCTTTCATGAAATTTTGGTCATAAATTATTTCCTCTCATCCTTGCATTGTTAACTTCGTCTCTCTACTGACTCTACCATTTAGGATACAAACATATTAACTCCTCTGATCTTAAGAAACAAAAAGTTCATTAACATTTTTTATTTTATTTTGTTATTTTTTCCAGTGATTTTTAGAGAAAATGGAAGGGAGGGAGGGAGGGGAAGAGAGAGAGAGAGAGATGGATGAGGCAAAGAGAGAGAAGGAGGGTGGAAATGGAGGGAGGGAGGGGGAGAGAGAGAGAGAAAAAGAGAGAAACATGGATTGGTTGCCTCCCATAGGCACCCCTACCCATGATGGGGATCAAACCTGTAATCCAGGTATGTGCCCTTGACTGGGAATCACACCCAAAATCCTGCTGTGCTCAGGCCGATGCTCTAAACACTTAGCAACACTGGCCAGGGCCATTTTTTCTTTTTTTTTAAAGCTAATTACCTTTAACTACAAAAATTCCCCACAATGTTCTTTCAGTGCTTATCAAGCACAGCAAAAATTTAGATTCTTCTCCCAACTTCTTCCACAATTAACTGAAATCTGACTCCTGTCCACATGACACCAACAAAACCACTTATTTTCTCTTCCATTTTAGCAATTCCATAAACTCAGTTGTTGAGAACAAATATTCATAAATATGCATACATATATAAAGGCTTCCTTAACATAAATTATTGTCTCCCATGGCACCAAGCTTTCCTCTTCAGGATCAAGTTTTAAAGGGTAAACTCCAAAACACTCCTAATATTCCTAGTTTCCAAAGGATTTGGTACTTTAGTGGAAGAAAAAACCAAGAGCCACAGGAAACGAGTTCATTGTCCCTATGAACCTGGGTCAGATGAAGAAAAGAGAATAGAGGATAGGATACCTTTCCCTTATTTAATGAAGCAAACATGCAATTCAAACTTTAAAGAACCAAAAGAAACAAATTAAGTCAATTCTCATGGCATTATTCTAGGCTTTCTTATGAAAGAAACGTTACAAATTAGCTTTCTATTTAACATTAAAACATTTCAAATATAATATTTTTGTGGTATTACAATGACTAGATATTAAATGTATTTTATTTTGAAGAGTTAGGATGAATAAGTTTATTTTTATTTGTTTTCCAGTTTTTTTCCCACTTAAAAGATTAAAATGTAATTCATGTACTATAAATTTCACACTTTCATAGTATACAAGTCAGTGTTTTTTAATACACTCACAAGGTTATACAACCCCCATTACTACCTAATTCCAGGACAGTTTCATTACTCCAAGAAGAACTCAGTCCCATTAGGAGTCACTCCCTATAGCCCTGACTCCCAGTCCATAGCAACAACAAATTTACTTTCATTTTCTGTGGAACCACCAAATCGGGGGTATCAGGATGACAATCCAACCAACAGACCTACCCAGCCAGAGAGGAAGGCTCCAATCTTAACTTTCTTGTTATATTTACAGGTCTTTCAATTTGCATTTGTTTGATTACAACTGAGATTCAACATTTGTTTTGGTGTTTTGGAGGCCAATTTTGATACATGATTTTCTTGATATATGTAGAATGTTTTTTCTCTAAAAATAAGTTCAGGTGTTTCTCATAGGTAAGCATGGGGCAAAAACTTTTAAAAAATATATATATTTTATTGACTTTTCAGAGAGGAAGGGAGAGGGAGAGAGAGTTAGAAACATCAATGAGAGAAACATCGATCAGCTGCCTCCTGCACACTCCCTACTGGGTATGTGCCCGCAACCAAGGTACATGCCCTTGACCGGAATCGAACCTGGGATCCTTGGGTCCGCAGGCCGACGCTCTATCCCCTGAGCCAAACTGGTTAGGGCAACTTTTTCCCTAACCACTTGTTTTCAGTCATTTGATTTATGTTTTCACATGATTTAAGTCTGAGGAACTCTTCCCTCATGGGTTTTTTGGCCTTTATGTTTAGCAATTCCTTCTCCCACCTGAGATCAGATGAGTAACTTTTATCAAGTTGCTCTATGTTTTTGTTCAACATTATAGTCATCTGGAATACATTTTTACATGGTGTAAAACAAGGTTCTAACTTAATTTTGTAGCAAATGGTTTAGCCATGTGTCTAGACACCATTTGCTGAATAATTTATCTTTTCCTTACTGAATGTAGCTGTTAGCTTTATCACGTACTACATTCATACTAAACTCTTCACTTCCTACTGTGTTCCAATGATCTGTCTGCCTGGTGTTCCACCAGTACTACCTATGAGAAAGAAAAATGAAGCACAAGGCAGAGATAAACAATGTGGATAACCAACCTCCAACTTTAAAGTTGATGGACATAAAAAGAAAACTCTGAGTAGCCTTAGGAAATGTAAGTTTAAGCTTTTTTTTTTTTGGTGGAGAACGTGGGCATCGATAGTTTGAGCTTTGATTATGATTAATCCTTGCAGTTTTCCCAGACCCTCAAAAGACTTTATTTTCTTGGTGAGGGAACAAAAGTGGAAGAAAGAGAACAGAGAAGCTGAGTACAAAGTCAGTGTCATTCCTAGTCTGCCTTAGTAACCGGTGGATGGATGTGGCAGTAGTGCGGAACTATGAAAATGCTATAGGCAAATCATGAGATCAAGAACTTTTCCTTTGATCAAGATGATTAGGAAGACGACAAGAGGGAAAAGTGGAAACGTGACAGCTTACATACCTCAAAACCATGTCCCAAGTACAGAATCATATTAAAACATATGGACTATCCTTGACGGGCAAGAATAAAATAGAAATAATTATAATATTACCACCATTTGACTCCACTGAGACAGGGAGAAAACTCAGTATAATTGCCCACAATCAGCTGTCTTACCTAGTGATGCATAGGAACCTGGATTCAGGGCACCTGCACCCAAGCGCCCACTCCGCATAGCCTGCCCAGCAGCATGATGTGCCTTGGCACCAGCAGCAGCATTCACATCGATGTCACTTCTCGAACGCTGCAGGCTTCCTGGAAGGGAACCGGCTTTGCTGCTGCCTGCTGCTACTATGGAAAACAAAGCAAAGGTAACCTATATTATCTAAATCACTGCAAAAAGTGTAAAACTTACATAAACTTGAAACCATAAGGCCTCATTTTCCTCTTCCATAAAATGGGGAAAAGAACTATACTTTGTAAAATTCATAGGACTGTTTCGTAGATAAAGAGGTGATTCTTATGACTGCCCCATGAAAATGAAGCTCTATACAACTAAATAGATGGCAGCACTGGTTTTCCACTATCAGAAAAATACTAGGACTAGTCCAGGAGTGGGGTCATTCAGAAAATAATGCAGGTTCTGCCACGCTTAGGCAATGCAAATAGGTTATTAAATTTCTGATCTTTAGTTTTTCAGTTTTAAAAAGGAAAAGTTTTACAGCCCAGCTGGCGTGGCTCAGTGGTTGAGCATCGACCCATGAACCAGAGAGTCATGGTTCAATTCCTGGTCCAGGACACATGCCTGGGTTGCAGGCTCCATCTTGGGGGTGTGCAGGAGTCAGCCGATCAATTATTCTCTTATCATTGTTGTTTCTCTCTCTCCTCCCTTCCTCCCTCTGAAATCAATAAAAATATACTTAAAAAAGGGAAAAGTTTTACAGTGAATGGTGACCCATTAATAGGCTGTGAAGTGAACTGAGTAGGCCATGACAAGCATTTTAAAGAAATGAAACAATAGGAAACAGAGTACATCCATCATAACTAAGGGTAAGCAGTACTTTGTGAAGCTTCAGATAGTACTATATATGTATTACATGTATGCAATACACACATAGTGTATGGATACTGTATGCACATAATTGTATACACTATACTGTATATATATGTAGTATATGTATATGGTATACAAATATAGCTACAGTGTATATGTGTGGTATTAGGTCACTATATAAAATTATTTTCTCACTGTAGGTCAGATCAAGAGTTTAAATGTTTAGAAGAATTTAAAAGCTCTACTTTAAAAGCATATCAAAATAGTTCTTAAAAGCTAAACCATTTAAAGCAATAGTTTTTAAACTGTTTTAATGTGACCCACAGTGAGAAACAGCATTTTATACAGTAACTTTTACTTTATTTACAGAATAGTCTCACTCTGGTCCTTTATTAAATAAAATACGTTATGACTCTTACTTAAAAAGGCAATTTACCTCTTCCAGCCACAGTTGATGGGTTTGCTGTAGACCATTTGGAAGAAAAGGGGCGACTGCAAGATAAACGGAAATACTTTAGGTAAGAAGATGTAATTTATCTTTCCTCTGATAAAAACTGGTAAAATACCACTGAGTTTTCTAAAGAGTTGAGAAGTATGTTTAATTTCCCTTTTACAAATCACGATACAACAGTTGTTACATACCAATCGCATCTTAGTAGCTGTGAAGCAAAGATCAAATCAGTAAAAATGAATAAAGACTGTAAACTACAGAGACAGAGCCCAGTTTGCTGCTGTTCACTCTGGTTCTTGCACACATTACAATGCTCACCACCGAGGACTCAACTATTCTCCAACATTTGTATTCTGAGATACTTTACTTAGAGGTGGTGTTCTTACTAGCACAGAGGGAATTCAGAGTACCTAAAATCTTTCTTACCTAAGTCATAATGGTTGTGGCTATTCGCAATCTGTGCAGTTACCACGTAGGTATCACACCACCTATAGCAGTGCTCCTGAGCGAGTAGGTGGGGCAAGAACAAAGGCTAAGAACTACCACTGAGGATAACATGCACAATCAGAAAGCAAAGCAGCTCCAATAATCGAAGAATCCACATCTCTCAGTAACTCTTAATTATCTTTATGCAATGGTATTGTATAACCCATAGAAGAATGTATCTAAATATGTAAAGAAGATCTAAAAAGTGTATCTATGAATTTTAAAGGTGGAGAAAGAGAAAATCAAAACACCAGGTGCCTCATTGGCCTCACTCTGGTCCTACTCTGCATCAGAGAGCTGTCTCCAAAGAGACAGAAATTAGAGAGGTGAGCTCACACCCTGTGAGCTGTATTTCCTGGGAAGTCTGCAGGTACCTGTGGCACCAATAGGGAGTGCAGACGGCATCTGAGATGTCAGCAATCTCATAGGGCTAGAGAGCCAGAAAATAGGGTTACGGCTGCCAAGCAGTAGGGTTGTAGCAGCCAACACAATGACGAGAAGGGAGCTAAAGAGAAGTGAGTCAGATACTAATTTTGCCCCTTGAGGGAACTGCTGAAATCTGAAGCTGTGCAGATGAGGAATGAAAGCAGTAGAGTTTTCACCAGTTTACACAGTGTTGCTTAACAGTTCTGAAGATGACTTTAGAGTTTCCATGACAATTCCTCCATTGCAGTGCCCCAGAAATGGACTACTTACCATATAAATTATTTTGTGGATATTTTTAAAAAATGTATATAAATGAGTGCCTCCCAATCTTTTTTGCAGACATGAACATATAGAAACAAAATCTGAGTCACTAAATTCTTTACCCAAGAGAAGTTATACTAGCATGTAATCCAACCCTTGAGACATTAGACCAAAGAAAATGAGTACTACTTCAAATCATCGTTCTCTCAAGGCTTTAAGGGAAAGCAAGCAGATATTCAAGTATACACCCAACTGAAGGCACACTGGGGAGCTGGGGAGAGGAAGAAATCAGTAATCATCATTTATATGACCTTACTTGAGACTTTCTTGTGAGCTAGATGAAGACCTGTCAGACTGTGGAAGAGATGCTACACTGCCAGAACTCTTTAAGTACGTTTGAAGACTCTTCTGATAAGATGGTTCAAGGGAATTATACAATGTTTCAGCTTCACCAGGAAAGTGGTTTCTAAGACCCATATATGTCCTGTAAAGCAAATGAGCAAATTTTTAAAAAGGGGGGGGTGGGGTGGGGGGGGCACAAAATAATAGCTTTACATTATTAGACATTAGAAATAAAATGCATTACATTCAAGAATGCAGGAGAGCATGCAGGTTTTTAAGACATCCACTGTATCTCAAGTGAATGCTTTCTAAAGTTAACAAGTTTTGGAAAAATGTTAGGCTTTTGAGAAAAGCAGATCAAAAGAAATCTGCTTTGGGGCTTGGGTATACCCCAAATCTCCAAACTTCAGGTGCCAATCTTGTGCTTCAAATGTTAGAAAAGAATGAATAGCAACGCCCCACACAGTATCAGGTATATAACACATGCTCAATAAATGACAGTTATTTTATTCACAATAAAAGGGAAGATGTATTATGATGGACTAGAAATACTGATGATTATACACATGACAACAAGAAGTAAACTGTGAGACATCTAGTACAGATTTGGTGGAGGAAAATCAATCTCAATTTCACTGAAGAGCTAATCAAAAGTAGAATAACTGGGACAATTCTAATATTTTCATTCTCCCAATATAATTCCTTTCAATGAAAAGACTAAAGTATTTTAAACTGTCACAAAAACACATTATAGACTTACTTTCTTGCTTCCACTCTGGCCTCAGCATCAGCATCATGAATTCCCTTTTTAATAGTTTCAACCAAGACGGCTGCATGTCTATAAAATAAAACAACTTTAGTGTCATGTGTAAAACTCTATTTCACCACAAATAACACTTAATGCCTATGTGTTACACATCAATCACAAAGGAGAAAGGGAGGTAAAAAGATTAATTAGTGGACAATAATAAATCTAAGGCTGCAAGATTTTCTAATAATCCAACTCATACATTTCATTCATATTCAGTTTTCTTCTGACAAGTTAAACATTATAAACCTGAAAATAATTATTTGTATATGAAATCCAAATAATGTATAAATACATAGTACTCAAATTATAAATTTTTAATGAATAAAAAATGATCTGTGTGGTTCGTCACTAACCCACCAATGCAGAAGATGATTTGCTAATAGTATGATCAGTTATAAAACTGAATAGAAGCTGCCACACATGAACTTAAAGAAAACTTGGAATTATATCAAATTATATCATGCCTACATTAAACAACAAATTCTATTTTCTTTAAAGGGGACTGTGGACAAATTTAATGATCTCCATAAAAACGGCAAATCAGCATTATTTTCAGCATAAATGTAGGCATATCCCAAGTTGCAAACTTGAAACCAACAAGAAATACAGCCATACAAATAGCCAGTGACTACCGAGCTACCTACATTTTCCTCTTGCTCATCTCAGAACGACATTAAGCACTGCCTATGACACCTGAAAGCAGGTGTGGAGAAACTTTTTTTTATCTCTTTCCTTGGAAAAGGAGTGCCTTCCTTCTCTCTTTAGTCATTAATTACTTAATTAATTGCACCTTGGTAAACCTGTCTCACATGACTAGAGATTCGTTTTTAATTTTTGCCCAATTTAACTTGGAGTATCTTATATGACTCATTCTACTTAAGAGACCCTCACTCACCTCACAAAGAAGAAAATCATACTATTCATAGCTACAACAAATAAAAGGAACATTACACCACAGCTTTAAAGGAAAACCAATACAAATAACTTTTAAAGCAAAATGGGAAATAACGCAAAACCAGTACCATCAACTTCTAAAGAATTGGTAACCCTGGGGAGGGGAGGGAGGAAGGATAAGGAGGGCTGATGCATACCTTTCCAAAGAATGAGTCTGCCACTCCTGTAACAATAAATCTAAAAATTCAAATGAACGCCTGAAAAACAAAAGTTAATTATAACTAAATGTTGTAACATTATATTAATTTATAACTAAATACTAAGTAGCAGTTTCTTCTATAAGACTGCACTTTGAGCCCCAAATTGAAGAACAAGCAGCCCTCTATATCTGTGGGTTTATACCCTTAGATTCAACCAACTAGGGACTGAAAATATTAGGAGTGGCGGGGGGGGGGGGGGGGGGGCG